TTCCCTGCAAGGCTGCCCCCTGTGCCTTCACTGCGGCGACAGGAGCAGGAGTCAGACCGCAGAAGGATGAGAATCGGGGAGAGGGGAGGGCAGCTGATGCCCTGGGACTATGCAGGCAAGCAGTGAAAACCGCTAGCGTTTGTCCAGGGTCCTCTGGGAACGCCGCAGCACAGCCCAGCTGCGTTTATGGGCGTCCTCCTTCCCCACCCCCACCCTCTCCCATCTTCCCTCCTTCTTTGTCTCTCTCTCCCTCCTTTCCGTCTTCTTCTTCTAATAATAATTAATTTTAATTTAATTTATGTTTCAGTTAATGCTTAACACAAAGCTTGAGAATTAATTCAATTAATTTTGAATTTCCTTGGTCTTTATTTATTTATTTAATTTTAAATACCTTGGTCTTAGAGTTCCCACAACATAAAATAAAATCTCTTCTAAAGGACCTCTCTCAGACTGCTTTCTCCCAGCTCAGTTGAGCAAAAGCAATCACCTCCCTTCAGCAAATACACACAAACCTGCCCGATTATAATAGGTTGCCATGGAAACCAAGCCAAAAGAGAATAGAAAGATAAGGCTAAATATTAAGGATTTGTTGGGCCGTAATGACTACTTTTTTCGTATCTGAAATTTTGGGTCGGTGACAATGTGAGCCACAGTTCCCTTCCAAAGGTGTGCCAGGCGACTCCTAAAGCCATGCCTACCCCTGTGTGTCTGTGCATTTCAGTGCTTTTTCCCCAGCTCCTCCTCTCTCTCTTTCTTTCTCTCCCAGAAGCTCTTAAAAGAGCAATTGCACATGACATCTGGTGGCAGCCGGCACCGGTGGGAGCGGCGGACAGGACGAGCGGTTTGGAGTCCGAACTGGGTGAGCAGTTCCCTCTGTGGTGGGGTTCTCTCGTCAGCATTGTGACATGGGAGACTCCTGTTACATAAGTGTGTCTTGACAATTTATTTTGTAAGTTGAAAAGTTCTCAGTTTTGTCTTTAAAAGATGAAGTGTGATTCAAGGACCAGTGAATTTTTCTCTGCATTTCTTATTACTCATATTCAAACCTGAGACTTATTTCCTGTTAATAAACATAATTTACTCAGTGCTATGGTTGAAGTGTTCTGACAAAAGTAATCCACAATGACAAGAATTTTGCCTATTTCCCCACAGCTCAGAAACTTCTCAGGAAATTCATCTTCACCCATTTGGAAAGGCCGAGGGACATTATTAGCAATGGTAATATCATTATGTCAATTAGCGAAGAGTCACTCCTTGAGTTTCCAAGAGGGCAATTTTTCCTGGAACTTAAAGAGGCCTCATGGAGTGAGGTTAGATTCAGAAATTGTGTGTTTGCATTTCAGATCATGGAATTTGTTAGTTAAGTCAGCTTGGGCAGCTACTTAGACTTTTTGAGTCTCAATTTACTTAAAAGCCACAGAAGAATTTATAAAAGCCTGATTGGACTGTTGTGAGGTTTAATACAAGCTAACATTCATGTCGCACATACTATGTGCAAAAAATCATTTTTATGCTTCACAGAGGAGTTCAAGGAATCCTCCCAGCACTCTCTGTGCAAGTTGTTAGTGTCATCCCGAAGGGGAATTGAAGGACAGGGGGCGAATGTCTTGCTCGAGTTCAAGCAGATAGTTGAGTGGTGAATCCAGGATCCATAAGTCTAGCTCCAGGCTGTTGCCATCACTTGGAAATATTTATTAAGTATTTACTAACATTGTAGAGTCTGTATTCGGCACTTTACAAATAAATTTTAATTTGTTCCTCATAAAACTCTATGGTATAGGTTCCGTTACTGACACTACCCCACAGAGAAGGACCTAGGTTCTGAATCTGCTCTCAAGGAACTTGCTCCAGGTCCCACAGTTCATAGGCAGAAATTTCACAGTAAATTTGGTTCATTAAATATTTCACATGCATCATTTTTTAATTGATGCTCAAACATTGTGAGCTCTTTGGAAGACAGATGCCATTGAAATAATGTTATGCCTTGATAATTTTAAATGTATTTGAAATATGCTCTCTAATATAAAGGAAATACTTTTATCTGATTTTTGCAATTTATTATGCTTTCCTGCTTTTCAGGCTGAGGAGGCATTACAGTTTTTCTTTTCCTTAAGGGTTTATTTTTTTCCTTCTTATGTACAATTCTTACTTTATTCCTATTCCAAGAGCTCTCTAAGAATTAGGCAAATTTAATTAATTAAATTATCCTTAAAATTTCTGCACATTTTGAGTCTGATTTATATAAATCACTTTTTAAAATAAAATATTTTTAGAACAAATATTTACAGAGAGATTGTGAAGTTACTATAGAGGATTCTCACATATTCCCACACTGAGTTTCTCCTATTATTAACATTTTATATTAGTTTGGAAGGTACAATTGGTATAATTAATGAACCTATATTAATATACTATTATTAAGTCAAAGTCCATACTTTATTTAGATTGCCTCTGCTTTTGATTAATGTTTTTTTTTGGTTTGCTTGTTCTAGGTTCACATTCGGCATAACACATTATATTTTATCATCATGTTTCTTTAGGCTCTTCTTGGTTGTGACAATTGCTCAGCCTTCTTCTTACTAATGATTTGGGAAATATAAAGAAGTGAGATATTTTGTAGAATGTCCCTCAGTTGGGATGTGTCTGATTTTTTATTAGACTGGGATCATGGGTTGTTGGCAGGCCACACAGGTGAAGTGCCATTTTCATCGCATTGTATCGAAGGTACATGCTATCAGCATGACTCAGTGTTGCTGTTGGCCTTGATCATCTGGCTGAGGTGGTGTTTGTCAGGTTTCTTCATGGTAAAGTTACTTCTCTTTTCACCTTTTCCATAATGTATTTTTTGGAAGAAAGTCACTATGTGTTTCCCACACATAAGGGGTTTGGAGTTCTGTTTCACCAACTTGAGGGTGAAATATCTACATACACTAGTTTTAAATTCTTCTGCATGAGAGAGTTGCCTAGTCTTTGTTTATTATCACTTATTTATGTTAGTATGGATTCATAGGTATTGATTTTATACTTTGGGTTATAATCCAACCCGGCTTTCTCATTGGGTTGCTTCAATTGTTCCAGCTTCGGCCACAGGAGCTCTTGCAGGCAATCCCCGTGGCCCCCTGACATAGTCACATCATTGTGGGGTCTTTCACTTGTTCGTAAGTTTTTAAAAGTTTTACATAAATCTCATTTTAACTTTGTATATTCCCTCTCTCTCCCTGTTTCTGTTACTGTCTTTTCCTGTTTCTATTCAATTTTTAAAATATTTGTTATGATCTAAAAACCAGAAAGAATGTGTGATCTCAAAATTTGCTGTTTAAAGGTAAATTAATTCTTTCTGGAACCTCATCAGTCAGTGGTTCTCAGATATTAGTGTGCACAAGAATAACATGGAAAGTTGGTTAAAATTGCAGATTTCTTCCTATTATGGGCTGACTTGTGTCCTGTCAAAATCCATGTTGAAGCCCTAAACAATGTATTTGGAGATAGGATTTTTAGGAGAAAATTGAGGTTACATGAGGTTGGGTGGCAGCTCTAATCCCATAGGATAGTGGGTTTATAAGAAGAGGAAAGAGAGAGATCTGTCTCTCACTGTGCACGCGCATTGAGGAAAGGCTGTCAGAGGACACAGTGAGAAGGCAGCTGTTTGTAAGCCAGAAAGAGAGCTCTCACCAGAAACCAAACTGACCAGCACCTCGATCTTGCACTTCCCAGCCTCTGGAAACTGTGAAGAAATAAATTTCTGTTGTTAGTGATAAAGTCTATCATATTTTGTTAAGAAAGTCTGGGCTGAATAAGAAGACATCCCTTCCCTCCTCTGCTCTAGCCAACATTTTGATTGATTAGGTAAAAGAAAGGGGCTAGGATTTTGTGTACTAACAGGTACCTCAGGGCATATGAATGGAGTTCTTTGAAGGCTTTAATTTGAAAAGCAGTGAAACTAATAGTGGAGGAAGATCATTTGTCATACTCTTTCCTGAGGGCAGGTAGCTATCCTCATACACAATTTATTTTTCTAGTGGTTTGTTATATCTGGGCATATGCACCTACTGTTTGTGACAAAAGGGGTATAGATTTTCTTCAGCACAAAAAATTAAATTACCATAGGAAAAAAGAAATATATTTGAGATTTAGGCTCCAGTTGGGTTTTGCATTTTGGCATTTGAATACATACAAGTCCCCCACCCCCTCACTTTTTTTCTTCACAGTATAATCACAAAACATAATATTGTAGGGCTGGAAAGAAACTGAGAGATGATTAGCTGTACTCCTCCTTTCCCTTAAGGTACAGGGGAAAAAACCAAACACCGGGAATCCGTGGAGGGTTGGATTATCCAAATTCACTTGCGTATTGGCGGTGGAGCTAGGTCTGAAAACAGGCTTTCCTAGTTGGGGATTGTTCCATCAAAACATGCAATTTAACATAATTGATTTAAATAGATTATTATGAAATAGATAATCTTGAATTACTCTTTCTGTTTTCATATTTTTACATCAAGGTACAATTTCAGGATTATAGCTTTTGTTACACAATAGAATACTGCTTGGCCACTAAAAAAAAGAAAGAAGAAAATTTTATCTTTTGAGATAGTGTGGATGGACCTGAAGAACATTAAGCTAAGTGAAATGAGGCAGTCAGAGAAAGACAGATACTATATGATCTCATTTTCATGTGGAATCTAATGAACAAATTGAACTAACAAGGAAAATAGAAACAGACACACAGATGGAGAGCAGGTGACAGCTAAGGGTGGGGGGAGGTTAGAGGTGGAGGGACTGAGAAACAGGAAAAAGGGCTCATGGACATGGACAACTGTGTGGTGATACAGGGGAAGGGGGGTAAAAGGGGACTGAGTAGTAATGGAGAAAAATACAATAAAAGTTTTAAAAAAGTAGATGCTGTAGCCTGGTGTGATTCTGTCCTGCGCGTCTGTTCTGCGGAACAGAAGTCGTTTACCTCTGTCTGCCTTCTCTCCCACCCAAGTGCGTGCTACCACCCCATGGAAGATTCGACAGACATGGATATGAGCCCTCTGGCGTCCCAGAACTATCTTTTCGGTTGTGAGCTCAAAGCCGACAAAGATTATCACTTGAAGGTGGATAATGATGAAAATGAGCACCAATTATCTTTACTAATGGTCAGTTTAGGGGGTGGTGCAAAGGATGAATTGCACATTGTTGAAGCAGAGGCAATGAATTATGAAGGCAGTCCAATTAAAGTAACACTGGCAACTTTGAAAATGTCTGTACAGCCAACACTTTCCCTTGGTGGCTTTGAAATAACACCACCTGTGGTCTTACGGTTGAAATGTGGTTCAGGGCCTGTGCATATTAGTGGACAGCACTTAGTAGCTATGGAGGAAGATGCAGAGTCAGAAGATGAAGAGGAGGAGGATGTGAAACTCCTAAGTATGCCTGGTAGGCGTTCTGCCCCTGGAGGTGGTAGCAAGTTTCCACAGAAAAAAGTGAAACTTGCTGCCGATGAAGAAGATGAAGATGAGGATGAGGATGAGGATGAAGAAGATGATGATTTTGAGGATGAGCAAGCTGAAGAAAAACCTCCAGGAAAGAAATCTATACGAGATACCCCAGCCAAAAATGCACAAAAATCAAACCAGAATGGAAAAGATTCAAAACCATCGCCACCCAGATAAAAAGGTCAAGAATCCTTCAAAAAACAGGAAAAAACTCCTAAAACACCAAAAGGACCTAGTTCCGTAGAAGACATTAAAGCAAAAATGCAAGCAAGTATAGAAAAAGGTGGCTCACTTCCCAAAGTGGAAGCCAAGTTCATCAATTACGTGAAGAATTGCTTCCGGATGACTGACCAGGAGGCTATTCAAGATCCCTGGCGGTGGAGGGAGTCTCTTTAAGAACATAGTTTAAATAGTTTGTTAAAATTTTCCATCTTCTTTCATTTCTGTGACAGTTGATATCTGGCTGTCCTTTTTATAATGCAGAGTGAGAACTTTCCCTACTGTGTCTGATAAATGTTGTCCAGGTTCCATTGCCAAGAATGTGTTGTCCAAAATGCCTGTTTAGTTTTTAAAGATGGAGCTCCACCCTTTGCTTGGTTCTAGGTATGTATGGAATGTTATGATAGGACATAGTGGTAGCGGTGGTCAGACAAATGGGAATGGTGGGGAGATGAAAATATACATGTGAAATAAACTCAGTATTTTAATAAAGTAAAAAAAAGTAGATGCTGTAAAATATCAATGTTTCACATTTGAAGGTCCGTGTTTAAGCTATTTTTGAATTGACTATTAAAAATATTAAAACTGGCACTTAACTCACGGCTTGGCCAAACTTATTCTGAGTATATTCTGTAAAGTCAGCTTCTACTATGATACGGGCAACTAGATGTACAAGGATTAAGACTTGGAAAGTAAAGGGGGTAGACAAACCTTCATGATAAGGGTATTCCTGGGAAAGACCCTTAATTAATTAACCTCATGCAATATTGTGATAACATATAATAAACATAATTTGTATTATTTGGGTGCTTCATAAAATTCAATCAGCTGGCAGAAGAAAGACTACCTTGATTGAATGGAACTGAAGTTTACAGTAATTTTAAATGATTCTAGAGCTAAGAGGTAGCATTTTTGTGGGTTTTTAAAGAACCCTTTACAAGATTTGAATTTGGCTTTGTCCCTTACTAGTGGCGTGACCTTGAGCCAAGCAGTTTACTTGTTTTGTCCTCAGTTTCCTTATCTGTAAGTTGAAGGGACTGGTTTCAATATCATTAGTAACCTTTCCAGATTTAAAGGTGCCGTGGTTATGGACTTGTCAGTTCTGAACCACCTCTCACAGATGTTATAAAAAGTGAGTTAATTTACTTTTTATTGTTTTGTTGGTTGGTTTATTTCCATTCTGGAATTGTGACTTGGTTTTCAGAATACATTGTTGTTGGAATGGGGGAGGGTGGCAGGCCCTTCACATTTCTAATCGTTATTTTATGATCTAGTGGAGGCCAGTTTCTAGAAGAAGTGTTCAGGACTGCAGAGCTGATGGCAGCTTTAATCTGGAAAAGAGATGGCATCTCAGGAGATGGTATGTCATGTCATGGCCGTGTGCTAGAGGGTTTCGTGTATGTGTGTGTGTAAGGACGAATGTTTAAATAGCATTTGGAAGCAGATCATTTATGTATCTGTATCTATAGAGCTACAACTATATCTTTACTTCTCTCTATACCTATATCTATTTTTATATATTTCTCTATATCTACATATCTATACAGAGATCTAGATCACTCATGTTTTTTTTGGAATGAATAAGTGTTAAATAAACATGAGAATCTGAGTATGCAGGGTCTGTTAGGTCTGCGATTTGTATTTAGTGAGGGGAGTTAATCTAGGCAGCGGGTCTCTGGATCAGTCCTAGGGGAATGTATCCTAAGTTTCCTGAAAGAGAGAAGCACATATATACATACACACATATACATATATATGTGTGTGTATAAATATATATTGTTTCCCTTTATATGTATATGCACACACATATATGTATGTGTGTGAGTATGTGTATACAGGAAATTATAGGGGAAAGGAGAGGTGCTGGTCATGGAGATGGGTCACTTGCAAATCGCTTCTCTATAGCTTGTGACATTCTGAATAGAATATTAGGAGGGAAAGGACTGTATGTGGTGGAAGGGGTAGAGGTGTGGGGGTCATCAGTCTCTCCTGTACAAGGGCAATAATACTCCCTCTCTTGCAGTGCTGTTGTGAAGATTAGAGATGATGGATGTTGATGTAAAGAATTGATGGGACCAAGCATCAGGTAATGTAAAAATAACACATTTTGTTATTACAGCTACCATTAACTAGTCTCATTTCTCAATTCTTCTTAAACAAATAACGAAAAAACCCCAGTTCCTACCTCATTCCAGAGAAATCTTAGGTGGGTTAATGTTGGAGGGTGGGGACCCCAAGTACCCCTGAGGCTTGTGCTTAGAACTCCCCTGCACCCGCCCGCCACCCCACCAACGTCTGAGTGCAGTCTGGAAACCAAGCTGCGGGGACTGGGGGCCAGAGGCAGTCATGACTTATTGACTGAAAAACCCACTTCTCTTCTGAAGCGCCTCTCTTAAGTTAGTGAAGTTCATTTTCCTCAGAGCGGGGTAGAAAACATGGTTCCATGATGGAGATTTTTCTGATCCCAAGAAAAATTTTAACCTGTATTTTTTTTCTTTCTTGTTTTTCTCTTACTTTTTGGCTGCTTCTCTTCTCACCCTGCCCTGTTTCCTTTAGTAATTAGCTTTGGAAGGAAGTAACTCACATTGTGAATATGATCTAGAAACACTTAAAACCAAACAACAACAACAAAAAAACACCTCTAGCCAACATGGATATGTGTGATTCACACTTGCTTTAAACCCACAGAAATGTGTTTGCCCGAATTAATGACCACTTTTAATAAACAGATTTTGCTATCCACTACTAAAATTATTCCAGCCGGGCTTCAGTTGAAAAGAAAGGAATGATAAGAATCTGTCCCCATGGCAACAGTACTTTCAGGAGTAGTTTCTGCTAGACAATGATCTGTGACAGCTTTTGAATATGTCTGGGAGTTTGTTTCCCCACTACCTAGGTAGGTGAGAGGAAAGAAAGAGCTAAATATGTGGGTTTTGAATTATTAGTTGGGTGAACCTTACCTGAAGTACATTCAAAGGTGAACCTAATGGTGCTCGTGATGATAAAACTGAAACCCTTTAGAAAGGTAATTTACCTTTCTCCAGAGCTAAACTGACAAACTTGCAGATTAGTCTCTACCTGAATAAGAGATCACATGCAAAGGCTGGATAGGAATAATAAAGATTTGTAGTTATTAAGAATTCATCCAGAGTTAAGGTGAATTTCCTTGGGTCATCATCTCACAAATCAAGGGAGCACTAAGAATTAAATTAGTCTCAGTTCAAAAGGTGTTGCTCTGTAAATGGCAGGGTTTGTTAGAACCTGTCTTTCAGTGCTGGCTCACTCAGTTTCGTCACAATAGATAAAGGCTTTCATAAGCCATCCTGTTAGGTTCCCTTTGTAGACCTACTGACTCAAGAGAGACGAGTAATGTCTGCAGAGTAAAGAGGGTAACCCAGGTGTGCAGAGGCTCTCTGCCAACAAATCTTGGACTAGGTCTGGGGACATGCTCTTTGCCAGTGAATCTTGGACCAGGTTTGGGACTCAGTCAATGCCAAGACGAGCACTTGGATGGTAAGTAAGCACCTGAGCGAAGAAACCTGGGCCCAGGCTTCCATTTTAGAACATAAATACTAATTGAATGCAATTTAAGGTGCCCCTTTAACTCCTCTTGTTTTCTGATTTTAAGGGGGAATATTGCTCATTGTCAACAATTTCAAGATTTGTAAAGAAGTGTAAGATGGGGAAAATCATCCATTATTACCAGCCAGAGGTAATGTTAAACTGGTTTCTGAGGCACTACAGTCAGACTTTTTGAAGAAAAAGGCTTCCTTCAAGATCAGGTTGCCAGCCCCTTGGTTTACATATGAGGACAGTGTCCAGGCAGGGCGAGTCTGTGCTGAGCCCACGCAAACAAGTGCACCCAAGTTCTCAGACCGCTCATCCAGCATGTCCTGCCCAACGATGCTCTGCCTCTCACATTCCACTATTTTATCTTTTAATCCTTCCAGAGAAATCATTATACCTTCCAGTCCTGAAGATTTCTCAGAGAAAAATAGCTTGCAGAAAGCAAACACACATTCTAAGTTATAGACAAAACCCAAACTGTTCTGTGATTACTAAATGAATTTTATAACTTCAACAGAGTCTTCCTAAGAAAACTATTTAATAGTGAATCTGGGCAAAAAATGTTATTCTCATCCAAAGCACATTTATTATTTTTTCTAGTCATGTGTTTGATCTCCCATTTTTGGTATTTGAGAGGGAGGGAAAGGGATCTGTAATTAAATAATAAATTAGCCTTTTATACCAATTACTTATCCTGGGAGATGTCACTGAAGTATTTCTGAATAATTAGGGAGTTCTCAGGATTCACAAACCTAGGAACATTTCAGAGGCTCAAATTTCTACGAACTCCGTTTTTTACCATATGAAACATATTAACACACATCCAATTTTGATGTTGTAACCAGTTGAAAGCTTGTATGCCCAATGCTTCAAAAGGCCGAAACTCAAAATGTCAAAGTTGAAGAAAAGATTTATTGATCAGGAAGGTGCCAACTGAGAAGATGGGAGACCTAATCCTCAATTTTGTCCTATGAAAGTACAGAGTTTATGCTTTTTTTTTTTTTTTTTAATGTCAAAGGGAAAATGGAGGAGACAAGAGGTGATTGACCACCTCTGATGCTTGGGTGCCAGCAGGGGTCCAAGGGAATTTGTAATAGTTTATGTGAATCTGGTCATGAGGTCCCCGACATCTTTGATATGTAATACATACTTCCCAATCTCCCCAACCCGCAAGCAAAATTCCTCCAATGATTAGCATGTCTTCACGCAAGACTAGAAGAAGCTAGAAGCCTGAAGTCCCTGAGAGCAAAGCAGGCTCGAACAAGATAGAGTCAGAGAGTTTGAGCATTTTACTCTATTAGAGTATCACATATCGCTTTATGCTATAAAATTTATAAAAGGACTTTTACAAAGTTGAGTGCTGTTAAAAATTCATGGTCATGATATAAATTTTATTATTGTTTATGTGAGAATTGAAGTGCAGATGACAGGTTGGCACATGTATTAGTGTCCTGTAGTTGCCATAACAGACCGAACGACTTAAAACAGTAGAAGTGTATTCTCTCACAGTTGCAGAGGCCAGAAATCCCAAATATGTTTCTGTGGATTAAAATTAAGGCAGGGTCATGCTGCCTTTGGAGGCTGTAGGGCAGAATCTGTTCCTTGACTCT